ACCAAGTGCATCATCATCACCACCTCATCACCATCACATCATCAGTCGCCTAGGCCTCTTGAGAAAAAAACAAACAAACCCTTTGGCTCTTTCGGTAAAGTCACATAGGTAGAAAAACAAATTGATCACGACGTTTCGATCGCAACACAAGCAATCGTCATCAGGTGGGACAACCACAGCAAAAAAAAACACAGCTGTGGTTGTCCCACCTGATGACGATTGCTTGTGTTGCGATCGAAACGTCGTGATGTTATTCGTTTTCTACCCACGTGACTTTACCGAAAGAACCAAAGAGTATGGATTCCTGCAGTCACGAAAGCTTCAAATCAAAACAAACAACCTCACATCCACACCGATCTCTTACGCGGTCTAACAAAGAAAACAACTAAAGACGACACCTCGTCAAAGCGAAACGGAGGAGGAAACCGCGTGCCAACGTCTCCCCTCCCATCCCTTAAAGGGCAGTGGCTTTGTCGTTGCGGGCAAAGTCCAGTACCTGATAAGCGACGGGAATCGCCGATCCATGTGAGCGCCAGGGTAGCCAAATCATAGCCTTTATTATCAATAATATTTTTGTCGCGAAAGCCTACGTGTTAAACCAAATCATAGCCGTCAACCCCTGCACCGGTTTAACCCCGTATTGTTGTACGGGGAAAACTTGAGTTTTCAGGTCCATACGGCGTTCACCAGTTTCGATCCGGGCGCACAAACAATGGTTTTTGTTGTCTATGTCTTTGTGTTTCTCCCTTGTGATGGTGACTTTGTAGGGTGACCGTTGAAGGTTTATAAGGGGCACGGGGTGACCGGTCAGGTCTGAATTGGTCTGCAATAAGGGAGGGCACTGATGAGGGGTTGACAGCCATGAGCCAAACACAACAACAACAAACGAGCGAGCGGGCGCGAATACTAAATGATACATCGGAGATTTCCTCCACGCGTGCGCGTGCGTGCGTCCGACGTTTCAAGTACGGCACCTGTGCATTACCAGAGCCGTCGCTCGAAATGAACCGAAATCGACGCTCGGATTGAACGAAAATCTTGTTTACAAACACCACCACCACTACCACCCCTCTTTTCTCCTTCGCTACAAAGGTCCATTTACACACACATCATCCCTCCCCGCACCTCTCATTTGGTTGGTTACCTTACGGTGCGAAAGAAGTTCTCCCTTACGTACGTAACAGAACGTCGACACATCACTCCTCGAAGTCTGCAAAGTCTCTGGACCCGCTTGCAGTCCCGTCCCTTCCGCACGCGAAACCCCCTCGCAGCCACGACGAAGCGCCAATCGCGAACATCGTCGACTGCCGGGAGACGCGGAGGCCGTGCCTCGGGTAGACGGCGAATCGGGGCGATCGCCCAGGGCCCCGCAATTTGGGGGGGGGGGAAGGGGTGGAGTGGGGGGTCGCCCCGCGCTTTGACGTCATGGTTTGTAAGATATAACTCAGTGGGGTTTAAAATTGTAAAGTAAATAACAAAAAATACTTTTATTTTCAGTGATTTGCTTACCTTGTATATGTATACTACGCACTCTCATCGCGGTGTTTGTATTGTTTGTTGTTGTAACTTTATGACCAGCCCCCGGCTGGTCATCTGTGACAAAACAGCTTTATAGCTCATCGGATTCCTCCAGGATAGATCAAGATTATGATTTTTGCCCCCGCCCCCCTACAGTGTTACCACCACCACCGTCACCACCGTCACCGCTAAACCGTTACCATCAAGCGGCTCTAAACGCCACCGGTGTTCGCTATTTTCCTTGTTTTCATCACGGTGCTGTCCCGGCTATCGGACAGGGCCCCGCGTAAAGTAAGATGTACCGCTGCAAGCGCTCGAGGAACTCACCTTGTGTTCAACCCAGACCCGCCAGGGGAAGCGAGAGAGTGGCAAAATACAAACTCACAAAGTAGCACGGTACAAAGTTGCGACTCTGGGACGAAATAAAGCCGCTGCTCACTTTCTGGAGAATGCGGTAAAATAATAATAAAAGTGCGAGGGTGTCGTCATTATCATCATCATTGTTATAGGAACCACCAGTTGTTGTGACTCTTTGGTTCTTTCGGTAAAGTCACGTAGAAAGAAAATTAATTAAATAATAGAGTACGACGTTTCGATTGCAACACAAGGAACCGTCGTCAGATAGAACTGAATTTGAGAGAGAGACAAAACACAGACACGGAGACACACAGACACACAAGCAGAGAGAGACAACACAGAGACACAGAGAGAGACAACACAGAGACACACAGAGAGAAACAACACAGACACAGAGACCCAATGCCTCTGTGTCGAGGCCTTGAAAACAGAGATAAATAAGGGTAATTCCTGCAGTCACGAAAGCTTCAAATCAAGTTGTTATGACCTTGACATGAACGATTGGTAACATGGTGTTACAAAAATAAATATATTTTTTAGTCCCTGGGTAGTAAGTGTTATTTCCTAATGGCTCATGCCTCAAAAGTACAGCAAATGTCTATTATTCCCCACAAACTTTGCTTTTGTGACCAGGACAGTGATCTTTTGAAATGTATCTATTTTCAATGAGAAAACGTGGTGTGTGTGTGTCTTTCGTTCACATCAAGTCCTCGTCACAAAAGCAAAGTAAAAAAAAACACTTAGTACCCAGGAACACATATCGTGTAACATAGTGTTTCATTAATCGCTGCCCATGGTCATCACACTCCATCGTGATCCGTGTGCAGCGCGTCTTCCTTCCAACATTCGGAAGCCACCGAAGGCGATGCACTTTGAAATATTCCAGATTGAAAACTCATTTCCTTTAGGACCTCGTTTTGGCGAGTCACTTGTTGTACCCAAACCTCCGATTAGCGCGGCTGGCGACGCGCGGTGGTGCCAACGACCGATCAGAATTGACACTCGCACTCACACACACTCCTTCTCACTCACTCGCACACACACACACACACTCCTTCTCACTCACACACACACACTCCTCACACACACTCCTCACACACACTCGCACACACACACTCGCACACACACACTCCGCACACACTCCTCCACACACACTCCTTCTCACTCGCACACACACAAACACTCCTTCACACTCCTCCACACACACACAAACTCCTCACTCACACTCCTCCTCACTCGCACTCACACACTCCTCACACACACACTCCTTCACACACCTCACACACTCCTTCTCACTCGCACACACACACACTCCTTCTCACTCACACACACACACTCCTCACACACACTCGCACACTCACACTCGCACACACACACTCCTTCTCACTCACACACAAACACTCCTTCACACTCACACTCCTCCACACACACACAAACTCCTCACTCACACACACTCCTTCTCACTCACACACACACACTCCTTCACACACCTCACACACACACACTCCTTCACACACCTCACACACACACACTCCTTCACACACCTCACACACACTCCTCCTCACTCACACAAAGATCCCCCGTATAGCCTTAACAAACTGTAGGGGCAAGTGCTGTTAGCCAGCACCTATGAAGGCTGGTAACGGTACACGAGGGGGTGGGTGGCCAGCAACACGCCCGACCGCCTTTGTCTCCCTAGTGGTGATATTTACACACCGCACCAGGTACTCATTTGAGGCTGAGTCGACCTAGGTGAGGCCCGGGACCGGTTCAGATAATCGTCACTGGTTGTTGGCCGTGAGCGGGAATCGAACCCGGGTCGCCAGGTTCATAGCGCAGCGCGCTAACCGCTACACTACCGCTCCCCACTCACACACACACTCCTCCTCACACACACACACTCCTTCTTACTCGCACACACACTCCTCACACTCCTCCACACTCGCTCACACACTCCTTCTCACTCACACCCACACACTCCTTCTCACTCGCAATCACTCGCACACACACTCCTTCTCACTCGCACTCACACACCTCCACACTCGCACTCACACACACACTCCTTCTCACACACACACACACACACTCCTCACACACACACACTCCTTCTCACTCGCACTCACACACACTCATTCACACACTCCTTCTCATACACACTCCTCCACACTCGCACTCACATACACTCCTTCTCACTCGCACACACACACTCCTCCACACTCGCACACACACACTCCTCCTCACTCGCACACACTCTTTCTCACTCGCACACACTCTTTCTCACTCACACACACTCCTCCACACTCGCACACACACACTCCTTCTCACTCGCACACACTCCTCCACACTCGCACACACACTCACACACTCCTTCTCACTCGCACTCCTCCACACTCGCACACCCACACTCCTCACACACTCGCACTCACTCACACACACTCCTCCTCACTCGTACTCACACACACACACTCCTCCTCACTCGTACTCACACACACACACTCCTCACTCGCACTCACACACACACACTCCTCACTCGTACTCACACACACACACTCCTCCTCACTCGCACTCACACACACACTCCTCCTCACTCGCACTCACACACACACACTCCTCCACACTCGCACTCACACACTCCTTCTCACTCGCACACTCCTTCTCACTCACACACACACACTCCTCACTCGCACTCACACTCCTCCACACTCGCACACACACACTCCTCACACACTCGCACTCACACGCGCACCTTCTCACTCACACACACACACTCCTTCTCACTCGCACTCCTTATCACTCACACACTCCTCCACACTCGCACTCACTCACACACACTCCTTCTCACTCGCACTCCTCCACACTCGCATACACATGCGCTCCTCACACACACACTCCTTCACTCGCACCCACACACACACTCCACACTCACACACTCCTCACTCGCACTCGCACTCCTCCACACTCGCACACACACGCGCTCCTCACACACACACTCCTTCACTCGCACCCACACACACACTCCACACTCGCACTCACTCGCACACTCCTCCACACTCGCACTCACTCACACACACTCCTTCTCACTCGCACAGCATCGCCACACAACGAAAACGGACGTCGACCCAACATTTGCATTTGCAACAGCATTGCCGCGGAAAGTCAACTCCGCTTTTTAACTTAATCACCGGACCCATTGCACAAGCACCACCGTCACCACCGTCACCACCACCCACCACGGACCCAACTTACGACTGTAAACCACCAAAGCCTGCCACGTGCCGCAACCGGATTTCACGTCCGCTGTTTGCGCGTCGTTTTCCCTGCTTCCATACAAAAACAACAATCACCGTCGAACTCCGGGTGACCCTGGCAGTGGCGACTCGTCGCTGGCCATCGAAACGACGAGGACGGTCACCCGCGTCGCCCTCCCGACACTGGGAAGCCGCTACGCACGTCCAAATCCATCATCTCGAGTGAAAACGAATTCCTACCCGAACTGATTTTTTGCGTTAAGTTTGTCATTCCTCCGCACCTCCGATTAGAGGGGGTTGGCTACGCACAGCGCGAAAAGAAGTTCAACAGTGCAGTACATAATCAGCCGCGGTCAATCCACTGCTGGATGGAGGCCAGCATCTGCGCATCGAGTGCCTTCGCGTGGAGCGAGAGAGCGAGAGAGAGCGAGCGAGCCAGCTGACATCGATTTACTTTCCTCGAGCGAGCGAGAGCCTCGGTCGCGCCGCCAATATCACCACCACAGAAGATCGGAGACCCAGCGAGTTCACGTGCGCGAAGACGTGGGGGGGGGGGGGGGTGGAGCAGGCGAGAGAGCTCCTTGCAAAGACGTCAACGAGTGCCGCCGAGAAACCAGCACTGGCTTCCACGCCCTCGACGGCGGTGCAAGGCATCGCTCTCAGCCCGGCACTTTCTCTCTCCCCACCTACCCCACCGCCTCCGAACTCGCTTCCTGCACCTTCCCCCGCTTCGCCGTCACACTCAGGGGGTGGGCGACCTGCCGCCCATGTGGCTCTTCAAGGACTGCAGTGCGGCTCTTGAAATAAAATAAAATAAAAATTGGCTCTTCTTGTTATTTCGGTTGCCAAACCCTGACCATGGACGTCCAGTTCACCATGGAAGTCCCCAATTAACGATGAGAGTCCAGTTTACCACGAGACTCAAGTTCACCATGGAAGTCCCCAGTTTACCATGGGCAGGGGCGGGCAACCTGCGGCATGTGGCTCATTAAGGAGCCGCGCTTCGTGATGTTATTTATTAAGGACCACGTGCATTGCCGCCCTTGAAATATTTTGTTTACCGAATAAAAACAAATGTCTCCTCTTGTTTGTAGTGCTCGCCGACCCCCTGGTGTAACCCAACTAATTATCCCACCCCCCTCTCCTTCCTCATCTAACCCCAACTAATGCACCGGAAGGTGAATCCATCTCTCAGCTACTCCGCTCCTTGTGCCCCTTCGCTCGGTTCGGCACTGCTACCGCTTCTGCTTTGCATCATAACTTATTCGGCCCCCGGGGAGGAGGTGGGGCATTGCTTTGCAACCGTCACCAAAAAAAACCGAATCCCTTTGCCAACGCCACATGAAGCCGCAGCCAAGCGAACGCACGCAACGCAAATCCGAAAACCAAAAAAAACACATACAAAATTCTTGAAACTAAAGTGTCAACGTAAGCGCTACGATATATTTTATACATTACATCCAGTTTCTCTCCGTCACCCTACTTTAAAAACTCCACAACATTTCCCCATTCAGAAAAAAACTCACTGCCCTCCACCCCACTGCCTCGCCAGGCGGAGGAAGGGGTGGGGGGGGGAGATCAGAATCCATTCCAGCTCTTTGGGATCTCCGGTCTCTCCGGCAGCTCCGTGTGCCATTGCCAAGCCGAGTCGAGCACCAGGACTTGACCGGCACACGAGCAGCACCGTGTTAGGTTCAGAACCTGACCAGGGAGGTTTTCCACCGTGGAATGCCAACATCGATTATCCGTGGCTGAAGTGGCCCAAGTGCTCTCCGGGGGAAAAAAAAAAAACAGGATCGGACTGCGCGGGAACACGGAATTCACACTAAAATCCTCGCGCCCACTGAACTTACGTTCTCACTGAATATTTTCGTTTATGTGGTGGGCAGAACTGGGAGTAAGTAGCACGTGAGCAGCAACAGCCGCAGCCGCAGGCAGAGAGGGACGCTGGGATGCGGTGCGGGGTGTGCCGTGCGAGGAAGTATTTTCCGGGTCGCCGATTCGTAGAAGACGCGGGGGGGGCCCCCCCGAGGGTTAATCTCGGGATGGAGCCGTCCGGGCGACGCAGCGTCCGTCCCCCGCCGAGGTTTTAACGCGCGTCGCCGTCAAACGCCCGCTCCTCCTTTCGTAATACTGAATCGCGGGCGTTAGTACGTGCATCGCCGTAACGCACTGCGCGTTACTCCGGCTCGCGCACGTGCGTGCGTGCGGCATTAGCGAAGCATCGCAATGTTCATTCTGGAACAGAGGTTTGCGTCGCTAAGGTCACTGGCCAAGTCTCCACCATCATCTTTGAGTCGTCATATTTACCATCATCATCATCATCATCATGTCCTTCACCAGCCTTGTTCCCATCGTCAATACAAGTAATCGTTTTCACGATCATCACCGTGATCTTCATGATCATCATCATTGGCGTCGTCGTAATCACCACCGCCGCCGCCACCACCACCACCACCACCACGATCTTCTGTGGGATGATGCCCCATGTAGAATAGGGAGGTCATTAGCCGGTTGCTGTTACCCCTGCCGCTGTGGCTGCTATTGTTGTGTTGCTGAAATTAAGGTGCTGCCGGTCACCGCCATAGTATTGTGGAATTTCCACCAGGGGGCTCGGGACAGGGGACAAGTGCGCGCGAGCGAGAGAGGCGGTGGAATACTTTTGTGAACATCGTCCGTGCGCAGGGTTTGCGATGATTATGATGCGGCGGCGCCGAATAATCCGCAGACTCCTCGCAGAGTTTCGTTTCCTCTCGGGCGTGCCCCCTGGTCCCCCAGGCCATGCCGTGCAGGGAGGAGGCAGCTCGGGGGGGGGGGGGCGGGGGGGGGCGGGGGGAGGGGGTGGGTTTTAAGGGGGGGGGGCAGCGCTTGCAGGCAGCAGTACACAAAGTAGGCCGTAGGTCGCCGGCCGACTCGTGAAGCGAGGCGTTTTTTTTGGCTTGTTTCCGTTTTTACCAGGTCGCTCTTTTTCAGAAGCGACCCGGCCATCACAAACGATCGCTCAACGGAGCGGCTCGTCGCGTGCAAAGGCATCGCAGCCAAATACTGTGAACACGCGACGCCGATCCTCAATGTGGAGGGAAAAACCGGAGGACCCCGCAGAAAGAAGCCCACGCTACCGCGGGGAGAGGGAGGCGCCGCAAAGTCAAAATGTACAGCAGCAGGGGTCAGGGTCGGGGATCGAAACCCGCGACCTCCTGTGGCAAGGCAGTCAAACAGCTCGCCATCAGGAAGCTCCGGCGACAGGCGCGTCGGATTTACGCAAACGCCGTTCTGCCTCGCTCCCCCCCCCTACAAGCGCGCCCGCCCCGTCAACTCAATACTGTAAAGCAATTGGCCGATCATCCCGATGTGGCCGGAAACACCCCCCCCACCCCCACCCCCACCTGAAAACGAGTCCCGAGACTCAGCAGGGCTCTCCTGTACGAATAAAGAAAGGACTAATGGGGTTTTTTTTTCATTTATAAATTATTATTAAGGCTGTACACAATCAAGGATCGGCCGCGTTTTAGGGGTCAAGGTGGCGCGAGGGTTAATCTTGAGAGTGAGGGGGTGGCGGCAGCTGCTAAGGATGATGGGAAATTGAGACTGTTGGGCGGCGAGGAGAGGGGCAGCACAAGCCGGGGGAGGCACACACAGAAAGTTGCAGACCGAGCTGTGGGTCGGGTTAACTTGCTTTGTGGGGCTGTGGGGCGAGGGGAGGGGGTGGCGGCAGTTGAGAGGTTAAAGGTGAAGGGTCGAGACGACGTGAGAGTGCCGCGCGCCCCCCCCCTCCCCCCCCCCAACTTCTAGCCGTCGATGTCCCAGCTGAAGAGGTGGTGCTTAACGAGCATGTCCTGGATGCCCTCCTTGAGCGGACGAGTGTCCCTGTCCTGGAACGGACAGACGGACGGACGGAGAGTGAACGTACGAACAGCACGAGCCGCGCGACGTGGGCGAGAGGGCGCGAGACGCGTGTCGCCGATTTTTGTTTTTTTTAGGTGAAGGCCATGGTCATGATCTGAAGATTTTTGTTGTCGTTGTCGAGTAAGACCTCCACCACCCGACGCGGCCAGACTAATCAAACCGTCGCGTGGTGCGCGCGCGTTGAACTGCTTTTTGTGTTTAGTTGGTTGTCCTTCCCTTACACCTCCGATTAGCACGGTTGGCTGTGTATGGCATGAAAGAAGCTCAACATACACACATACAAATACAATAACAACGCGCTGATTGTTACCGTTTCAGTGCCGATTCTTACCGATTCCCACAAACTAATTTAACTCAATTATATAACGCGACGTTGCAATCGATAGCCACGCCAAATATCTTCCTTCCGCAGGCAATGAAACCAGGAAGCTGGAATTCAACATCAATCAATTTCATGAAGCGCTACTGGCTGTGACTTGAGCTATTAGCATACACTATGAATTATGAGACACTCATTTCTCCCCCGGTATTAAAGCAAAAGTTGGAGGCGCGTCTTGCGATGCGCGTGTATGTCTGTGTGTGTGTCTGTGTGTGTATGTTAGGGAGCGGTAGTGTTGTGGTTAGGAAGCTGGTCACATGCACACTCGGGTCGAGTTCGATTCCCGCTCACGGCCAACCCCAGTGACGGTTATGTGAACCGGTCCTGGGCCTCCCCTAGGTCGACTCAGCCTCACATTAGTACCTGGTGCAATGTGTAAACATCGCCACTAGGGAGACAAAGGCGGCCGGGAGTGGTGTTGGGCACCCACACCCTCGTGTGCTGTGCTGTCCCTCGCTAACAGCACTTTCCCCAACAGTCTGTTAAGGCTATATAGGGGATCTTTGTCTTTTGAATATCCGTGTTCATGTGACCAGGTTTGTATAACTTTATTGCACCAGGTGCACGTTTGAGGTGCACACACGCATGCATGCTGGGTAATGTACAGAGACAAAGCTGCCTTAACAGACTGTTGGGGCAAGCGCTTTTAGCGAGCACTTGTGACAGCTCGCACGGTACACAAGGGGGGTGGGGGGTGGGCCAGCACCACGCCCGACCGCCTTTGTCTCCCCAGTGGCGATGTTTACCCACCGCAAATGGTATTAATTTGAGGCCGAGTCGACCTAGGGGAGGCCCATGACCGGTTCAGATAATCTCCACCGGTGTTGGCCGCGCATAGGAATCAAACTCGGGTCGCCGGGTTCACAGCGCCGCACGCCAGCCGCTGAGCCACCGCTCCCCACGTGCGCACAACAACAACAACAACCACTGCCGTTCGGCACTAAGTGGCGGTGACGTCACCACAGCGCTCGTGCCAGGCTATGTGCACTTTAAGGCCACGTGCACTTTAAGGCCACGTGAAGTGTCGAATGCCCGCTGGAATGAGGTCACGGAACGGACCCAGCAGGTGCCATGGGTTGCCTGACTGAGATGGCTGGCCGATGCACCACTTCGTACGCACACACACACACGCTCACACACACACACACGCGTTCACACGTACCTCCTTCTTGAGAGCAAGCTCCCAGTCGGGCGAGAGATTAAACGCAAATTTGGAGAGAACCCTGGGGGCGGCGGGGGTGGTGGCAATGGGTCAGCACACATGGAGAAAGACAGCGAGTCACACAAAGACAAAGATCCCCCGTATAGCCTCAACAAACTGCAGGGGTAAGTGCGGTTAGCAAGCACCTATGAAAGGCGGCACGGCACACGAGGGAGTGGGTGGTCAACACCACACCCGGCCGTCTTTGTCTCCCCAATGGCGATGTTTACACACCACACGAGGTACTCCTTTGAGGCTGAGTCGACCTCGGGGAGGCCCAGGAACCGGTTCAGATAATCGTCACCGGTGTTGGTGGCCGTGAGCGGGGATCGAACTCGTCTCGTCGGGTTTTGCGAGCTGGTGCACTAACCGCACGCACAAAGACGCACGCACACACGCACACACGCACGCACGCACGCACGCACACACGCACACACACACGCACACACGCACACACGTACCGAAGTTCGCACTTGATCTGTACCCAGCCGGGGCTGCGCAGGAACGACCACGTCTGGTACCACTTCTCCACGGTGAGAACGCTCGAGCACAGCACCTCCAGCCACAGGTGGAGCACCTGCTCGCTGCACGGACACAGGGGTCAGGGGCACGCGGGGTCAGGGCCAAGCGGGGTCAGGGGCTCGCTGCACGGACACAGGGGTCAGGGGCACGCGGGGTCAGGGCCAAGCGGGGTCAGGGGCTCGCTGCACGGACACAGGGGTCAGGGGCACGCGGGGTCAGGGGCTCGCTGCACGGACACAGGGGTCAGGGCCAAGCGGGGTCAGGGGCTCGCTGCACGGACACTAGGGGTCAGGGGCTCGCGGGGTCAGGGGCAAGCGGGGTCAGGGGCACGCGGGGTCAGGGGCACGCGGGGTCAGGGGCAAGCGGGGTCAGGGGCAAGCGGGGTCAGGGGCAAGCGGGGTCAGGGGCAAGCGGGGTCAGGGGCTCGTGGGGTCCAGAAAACGCGGGGTTTGGGGCATGCGGGTTCATGGGGTCAGGGGTACCGAGGGTCAGGGGCACACGAGGTCAACACCCTCATCGTCAGCATTATAAGCAAAAGCATCATCTCGAACATCATGACGCAAGAGCAACAGCGCTATGGCGCTAACAGTGACACACGCATGCATCTGTATTTCACGGGACGTTGTGGAGGGAGGTGTTTCGCTTAGGTAACGAGTTAATCCCACACTGAACAATGACCATACCCTTCCGTGTCCAATCTGTCGTCAATACAAAAATAATATACTCCGCATTGCCACAGATTCTCCCGGTGAATTAAATTTCCCCGTCGTCACTGACATCATAATTACCATCACATATCGTCGTCGTCATCGTCGTCATCGTCGTCATCGTCGTCTTCGTTATCTCCGTTTCCATCACTCACTTGAGGCCGATGCAAATGAGCGAGCGGACCTTGACGTCCATCTGTGCATGCGCCGTGTCATGTGACTGATTCACAGACTGCACCGCCTGTACACACGTACACGGTGCTGTTAGCGAGCACCTGTTAAGGTTGAAAGCCGTAACAGAGTGTTGGGGCAAGTGCTGTGAACGAGCACCTATGAAGGCTGGCACGGCGCACGAGCGGGTGGGGTGGCCAGCACCATGCCCGGCTGCCTTTGTCTCTCCAGTGGCGTCCAGTGGCGATGTTTACACACCGCACCAGGTACTCACAACAACAACAACCGCCAATAGCCACTAAGTGGCGGTGACATCACCACGACGCTTGCGCCAAGCCATGTGCACGTTGAGACCACGTGAAGTGTCGAACGCCCGCTGACAGGAGGTCACGGGGCAGACCCAGGTGCCGTGGGTCGACTGACTGAGATGACTGGCAAAAACCACCCCAGACCTCCTCGTGGTGCCGGACGGCAACGCTGTGGTGGGTAGTGCCGTGGGGGGAGGGGGCCAATTCAGATTGGCCATTCCCCTCATGGCGTTTGTAACCACCACAGAGGCCAAATGGGGGCTCTGGATGGGTGCGAGGGGCTGGTAACCCCTCCACCTTCAATTAAGTACCACAAAACCAGGTTCTCACGCACACTCACACACTCACGCTTTCTCTGTGTGGCTCGTGGAGCCAACGTAAGACAAAGATTACATGGCAATGCAAGGACTCACCCGGTACAGGAGCTCCTCCGGGGTGAGAACTTTACCATCTTCATCCAGCCTGTACCACGCCACGCCAGCACCGGTCAGGACAACCACTGCTCACGTTGGCCATAGCCAGGCATCAATTACAGGTCGTTGGGTTCGTAACGCAGCGAGCTAACCACTACACCACCGCTCCACAGACACAGCAACAGCCGCCATTTGCCACTAAGTGGCGGTGACGTCACCACAACACTTGCACCAGGCTATGTGCACGTTGAGGCCACGTGAAGTGTTGAACACCCACTGGCAGGAGGTCACGGGACAGACCCAGGTGCCATGGGTTGATTGACTGAGATGCACGCACACGCACGCACACACACGCACAAAGATCCCCCCCATATAGCCTCAACAAACTGTAGGGGCAAGTGCGGTTAGCGAGCACCTATGAAAGGCGGCACACGTCACTAAAGGGGGTGGGTGGCCAGCACCACGCCCGGCCGCCTTTGTCTCCCCAGTGGCGATGTTTACACACCGCACCAGGTACTCATTTGAGACCGAGTCGACCTCCGGAAGGCCCAGGACCGGTTCAGGTAATCGTCACCGGTGTTGGCCGTGAGCGGGAATTGAACTCGGGTCGCTGGGTTCGTAGTGCAGCGTAGCGCTAACCGCTACACCACCAGACGGAGATCCCCCATATAGCCTTTAACAGACTGTTAGGGCAAGACGGGTCGAAGCAGGATTCACTGTCATTTAATGCTGAGGGTCACACAGGGTGTCACGGGGGTCACGCAGGGTGTCACGGGGGTCACACCGGGTGTCACACCAGGGGTCACGCAAGGTGTCACACCGGGGGTCACGGAAGGTGTCCCACTGGGGGTCACACTGGCGGTCACGCAGGGGGTCACGCCGGGGGTCACACCGGGGGTCATGCAGGGTGTCACACCGGGGGTCACACCGGGGGTCACGCCGGGGGTCACACCGGGGGTCACACCGGGGGTCACACCGGGGGTCACACTGGGGGTCACGCAAGGGGTCACGCAAGGGGTCACACTGGGGGTCACACTGGGGGTCACACTGGGTGTCACACTGGGGGTCACACTGGGTGTCACACTGGGGGTCACGCAGGGTGTCACACTGGGGGTCATGCAGGGTGTCACACTGGGGGTCACGGGGGTCACGCAGGGTGTCACACTGGGGGTCACACCGGGGGTCACACTGGGGGTCACACTGGGGGTCACGCAGGGTGTCACACTGGGGGTCACGCAGGGTGTCACACTGGGGGTCACAGGGGTCACGCAGGGTGTCACACTGGGGGTCACACCGGGGGTCACACCGGGGGTCACGCAGGGTGTCACACTGGGGGTCATGCAGGGTGTCACACTGGGGGTCACGCAGGGTGTCACACTGGGGGTCACGGGGGTCACGCAGGGTGTCACACTGGGGGTCACACCGGGGATCACACCGGGGGTCACACTGGGGGTCACACTGTGGGTCACACTGGGGGGTGTCACACTTCCTGTGGGTCACACTGGGGGTGTCACACTGCCCGTGGCTCACGGGGAGGAGCGGCTGCGCCCACCTGTACGTGCGGCACAGCACGAGTCGCGAGTAGACCGACTCAAAGTCCTTCTCCACCTCCTTGCTCGCCGCCTGCCGGGATGGGAGGTGGACCCCCCGGAGCGGGGTGAGAGAACACAGCGGCCTTGTATGTACACACGTGTAGAGCCTTGTATGTACACACGTGTAGAGCCTTGTATGTACACACGTGTAGAGCCTTGTATGTATACACGTGTAGAACCTTGTATGTACACACGTGTAGAGCCTTGTATGTACACACGTGTAGAGCCTTGTATGTATACACGTGTAGAGCCTTGTATGTACACACGTGTAGAGCCTTGTATGTACACACGTGTAGAGCCTTGTATGTACACACGTGTAGAGCCTTGTATGTACACACGTGTAGAGCCTTGTATGTACACACATGTAGAGCCTTGTATGTACACACATGTAGAGCCTTGTATGTACACACGTGTAGAGCCTTGTATGTACACACGTGTAGAGCCTTGTATGTACACACGTGTAGAGCCTTGTATGTACACACATGTAGAGCCTTGTATGTACACACATGTAGAGCCTTGTATGTACACACATGTAGAACCTTGTATGTACACACGTGTAGAGCCTTGTATGTACACACGTGTAGAGCCTTGTATGTACACACGTGTAGAGCCTTGTATGTACACACGTGTAGAGCCTTGTATGTACACACGTGTAGAGCCTTGTATGTACACACATGTAGAGCCTTGTATGTACACACATGTAGAGCCTTGTATGTACACACGTGTAGAGCCTTGTATGTACACACGTGTAGAGCCGACACCTACGGGAAGCTAGGGTATAAATACTCGCGCGATCTTAGGCTACAGTGTGAGGATGACGTCACGAGGAAGGAAAGAGAGAGAGAGGTGACGTCATAGGAAGAGGCGGGGCGATCGGGTGAGGCTTGTTGGCAAGTGCCAGGCTAGGTGTACTTTGAGGCGAGTGGGCAGTTGAGATGGAGTCGCCCTGAAGCAATAACAGAGGGGTTGAGAAAGGGCCCTGCATGTGTACGCACGCGGTTAGCGCTGCGCTGCGCTACGAACCCGGCGACCCGACTTCAATTCCCGCTCACGGCCTACACCAGTGACGAGTATCTGAACTGGTCGTGGGCCTCCCCCAGGTCGACTTAGCCTCAAATTAGTACCTGGTGCGGTGTGTAGTAAATATCGCCACTGGGGAGACAAAGGCGGCCGGGCGTGGTGCTGACCACCCACCCCCTCGTGCGCCGTGCCGGCCTTCAGAGGTGCTCGCAAACAGCACTTGCCCCGACAGTCTGTCAAGGCTACACGGGGGATCTTTGACTTCGTACGTGCACGTGTGTATGTGCACACGTGTGTATGTGCACACGTGTGTACGTGCACACGTGTGTACGTGCACACGTGTGTACGTGCACACGTGTGTATGTGCACACGTGTGTACGTGCACACGTGTGTACGTGCACACGTGTGTACGTGCACACGTGTGTACGTACACACGTGTGTATGTGCACACGTGTGTACGTGCACACGTGTGTACGCGCGCACATGCATGCATACACGTACGCGCCCGTTGGCGTGTACGCGTGCGCCCCCCCCGCCCCACCCACCCCGCCCCACCTCCTCGATGAAGAGCCACGGGTGGCAGGGCCCACCCAGGATGGACGGCCGCTTGAGGCCGTGCTCCAAGATGGCCTTGAGCGCCGGGCAGAGCGTTCCCCGCACCAGGTCCGTCACCCCCTCCGTCACCGAGTCATCCCCCGCCATCGAGTACTGCGCACGCGCGCGCGTCCGTGCACACGCACACACGCACACACCACACACGCACACACGCACACACCACACACCACACATGCACACACTAATGCCCCGCACACCCCCGCCCGGTGTAGCCTTCACACACCGTTGGGGCAAGTGTTGTTAGCGAGCAGCGCCCATGAAGGCCACCGGCACTGTGGCCCCGCGACGGGGTGGGTGGCCAGCACCACGCCCGACCGCCTTTGTCTCCCCGGTGGCGGTGTGTACTACTACACACCGGCACCGGGTACTCGCGCACACACTTCACGCGCACTTTCTCTGTGTGGCATCGTGGAGCCAACGTAAGGCGAAGACAATCTAGAGACTGCAGAGTCTACGATCTCCACTTGGCGAAGTCCTTTCGCCACAATCAGGCTTTCAGAATTGCTCACCAATTTCCCCCCCCCCCCCCCCCCAAAAAAAAAAGTCAGGAACCACCCAGCGATCGATTCCGGTGGAATTTTTGTGATGAACGCAAACCGATTTAAAACGTTCCCCTCGTTTAAAAATGTCACCCCCCCCACCCCCCTTTCACTTATTTTCTCACTTTTAACCATCTCATTGGTATTGTTTTTTCTTTCACTGGCACGTACATTCGCAATTACACTACACAAAGATCCCCCGTATAGCCTCAACAGACTGCTAAGTGCTGTTAGAGAGCGCCTATGAAGGCCGGCACGGCAGGGCACACACACACACACGTGGCACGATAAAAACAACGGCGGCGTAGCCAGCCAGCACCACGCCCCGCTGCTTTTCTCTCATTTAAGGCTGAGTTGATCTAGAGGAGGGATGGGGGGGGGGGGAGATGGGCAAGGACCGGTTCAGGCATCCGTCACCGATGTCGTTCGTGAGCGGGAATCGAACTCGGGTCGCCGGGTAAGTAGTGCAGTGCTCCTCCTCAGAATCTTTATTTAGACTTGAGGAGGAATTCGATGAGGGGCTCTTTTTCACAGACGCCCAATAGATGGCGGCTTAAGCAAAGCGCGGGCCACTGCAAGCCACCACTCCTGACCACCACGCACTCGCACGCACGCACACACACCCACACGCACACACACACGCACGCACACCCACACGCACACACACTCGTACGTACACCCACACGCACACACACCCACACGTACACACACCCACACGCACGCACACAACAACCACAACCGCAAATTCGCCACAAAGTGGCGGTGACGTCACCACGACGCTTGTGCCAGGCAGGCAAGCACACCCATACGCGCACACCCATACGCGCACACACACCCATACGCGCACACACACCCATACGCGCACATACACACGCACACACACCCATACGCGCACACACACACACGCACACACACCCACACGCACGCGCGCACGCACACGCCCACCCACCTGCTTGCTTCGTTCATCCAACACCTCGACGAACTTGGCCGGAAACCAACCTGGGAAGAGACGTCACCACGCAGGGACAAATTAACGATGTCCGCCGTCGCCCTCGCCGTCGCCCTCGCCGCCGCCGTCGCCGTCGCCGTCGTCAGCTCCGGATCCACCGCGTCGCGGGCGGTCGTTCCCGCGGGTCTCGACACGACAAAAACCACGCGGGCGGCAGCGATGCGCAACTCCCTCCCGGCAGCACTGGTTCAGCGCAAGACAAAAAAAAAACCAAACCCCGGGTACCGGTTTCAACATTCAGTGCCTCGCCGGAAAAGGTTTCACTAACCGGTGGAACGGAATCGAGAGATTCAATGAGCGACTGCTTCGTTGGCTGCTTGACAGAGCAACCGAGCGGCCGATCGACTCGGTGATTGAACAGTCGACCGACTACCTGAATGGCTGATTGAAGACTTGGCCGACTTACCGGACTAATCCACCGATCGACCGACTTATCCGTCGACTTGCCAAACGACGAGAGGGCCGCCTCACCGACTGGTTAAATGGACGAACCCCACCGCTCACCTCGAAGTCCGTTGAGCTCTCCGACCCAGCAGTGCTCGTCCTTTTGAGAGATGATCTGGAGCCATGGCGGACACGAACGTAAACATTCGTGAATAACAAGAATCATAGTAACATTCGCAACTACGTAACACGGTTTGGAGCTTTCGTGACTGCAAGAATTCATACTCTTTGGTTTTATTCGGTAAAGTCACATACGTGACTTTACCGTAACACGGTTTTTCCCTCCACATTTAAAATTTAAATAACGAGTTTCGAGTATTTGGCTGCTACACATTTCCACGTGGTAAGCCACTTGGTCGTGCTATCATCACGTGTGGCAAGGTGGCTTCGGAAAAAGAGCCTTAGCTGGTAAAATAAAAATAGTTAAATAGTTAGTTTGTATGTATGGTATGTATGCTGAACTTTTTTTTACAGCTCATTTATGCTCACTTGTAACGAGCACAAGCGATTGGTTAAGCCAGGAGGTGATGACTTTAGAGAACCAGGAATAAAGTCTCATTTGCAAGAGTGACCTGGGCCGTCAAACTCACGAAAATGAATAAAACAAAACAGAGAAAATAAAAAAAAACACAAAACTGGAAGGCAGAGCAGCCACGTCCCCGGGAGAATTACAAAACACTGCAATTACAAATCAACATATTCTTGGTTCTTTCGGTAAAGTCACGTAGAAGGGAAACAATAAAATAATAAAAATATAAAACAATAAAATTCTCACGACGTTTCGACTGCAACTCACGCAATCATCATTGTTTTATGTTTTTTATTATTTTATTGTTTCCCTTCTACGTGACTTTACCGAAAGAACCAAGAATATGAATCCCTGCAGTGACGAAAGCTTTAAATACAAATCAACAGTTAACACACGCAGCACATTTACCGGAACATTTCGATGGATCGGCCAAATGACCTTTAAAAAAACATTCGTCGGGGATTCTCATCATCATCGTCACCATTGTTCGGAGTTCCGAGCCATGCAAATTCCACATTCCTACAACGTGTCTCAGTATTTTCTCAATTTGAAGAGCACCACTGGTAGCTTTCATCCAGAGGATGTAAACGCCACATTCGAGTGACAGGACCCAGTTCGTGCTTAACAACAACAACAACTGCTAATGTCGTCTCTGTACTCAAGCGGTGGATATTCCACATTCCTGTGGCAAGGTCAGGTTGATCCACAATTAACAGTACACTCGCAACCAAAGGGTAATCGTACAGCACATCCACTGCAACACAACAGCCATCGCACGGTTGCTACGAGGTCACCATGGCAACTGCCATACGGTTGCCGGGGCACCCAGTGCCGTTGCCGCGGCAACTTGCGCACTCACCATGAAAACGTGCACGGGTTGCTATGTCTCCGCCCTCCCCTGGTCAACCCCCCCCCCCCACACCCTCCCCCCACCTCATTATAGAGCATTGAAGGAAGTTGGCTTTCTTTTCCACGCCAAATAATTATTTTTTTTACTCCAAAACAATGAGTACTGCTTTACAATGCATCCAGTTGCCATGGCGATCCTGGCCAACACCAGGGGACACTGGTTGCCTTTGCAAAAGGGGGTCACAGCAACACGGCGATACCGGTCGCCTCGGCCGATACCGGGGTCGACCTTGCCGATTAGCGGTTGCCGCGGCGACACCGATAACCGGCCGTCGTCCGCGACGGTACCGTGATGATGTGGTTCTTGCGGACGCCCGGCGGTACCGTGATGATGTCGTTCTTGCGGAAGCCCAGCTCGTCGTCGTCGTGGCGCTCAAAGTCGAGCAGAGCCTTGGCGCGCCGGCGGCGGTTGCGCGTCACCGCGACGTAGTTCTCGTGGTCCAGCTGGTGCGACTCGGTGGAGTAGTCCGGCGTGAGGTCCTGCGCGGTGGGGGAGGGGGGGGGTAACACGCGCGCGTTTCGGCACAACGCCCGGCAACGACTCGCTCCTCGCGCGCCAATCGGTGTTCCCGACGGTAGCGAAGCGGTTGAGCGCGTTGCACCACGGTACCCGGCGAAGCCGAGTTCCATTCCCGCCCACGGCCACCGACACCGGCGGCGACTGCATGCGTCGGTTCTGGGCCTCTCATTCATCGACTCGGCCTGAAACCCGCGCTGGGCGCCGTGCCGGCCTTCGCGGGCGCTCGCCAACCCGGCACTTGCCCCAACGGCCTGTTAAGTCCACGCGGGGGATCTTTGTCTGCGTCACCCACCGCCCCCTGCTCGGGGTCGATGTCCTGGAAGTGCCGAGCCACGCGCAGGATGGCATCGCGCAGCGCCGAGATCAGCTCCGTCTGCTTGATGTTCTTGGCCTTCAGAGACTCCGGGTCCTCCTGGTCGCCTGGCGGCCATGACAGGTACAGGGCATTAGGGGTGGGGGTTGGTGAGGTGCAGCAGGGGGGTGGGGCGGGGGGGATGGTAGCGGTATCAGCAAAGCAAGGAGTCGCAGAGACGGAGCTGAAGATCGGGGAGACAGAATCGTTACATCGCCGCAGAGCGAGGGGGGAAAGCGACGGCCTTCATCCAGCAGTGGATAGATTACGGCTGACCACGACGGCGGCGGCGGCGGTGGTGTGGGTTCGTACCGAAGAAGAGGACCCCGATGACCGACTTCTGCCGCTGCAGCTGCCTCCGTGCCAGCTGCTCCGCCGGACGGTGTGCACCCAGGGGACGGGGGGGGGGGGGGGCGGGGGGGGGGCAACAACAGTCAATGAGGCCAGGGGTTAATGGGCGAGGGGTTAATGAGCGAGGGGTTAATGAGTGAGGGGTTAATGAGGCCAGGGGTTAATGAGTGAGGGGTTAATGAGCGAGGGGTTAATGAGTGAGGGGTTAATGAGCGAGGGGTTAATGAGTGAGGGGTTAATGAGTGAGGGGTTAATGAGCGAGGGGTTAATGAGTGAGGGGTTAATGAGCGAGGGGTTAATGAGTGAGGGGTTAATGAGGCCAGGGGTTAATGAGTGAGGGGTTAATGAGCGAGGGGTTAATGAGTGAGGGGTTAATGAGCGAGGGGTTAATGAGTGAGGGGTTAATGAGTGAGGGGTTAATGAGCGAGGGGTTAATGAGTGAGGGGTTAATGAGCGAGGGTTAATGAGCGAGGGGTTAATGAGTGAGGGGTTAATGAGCGAGGGGTTAATGAGCGAGGGGTTAATGAGCGAGGGGTTAATGAGTGAGGGGTTAATGAGCGAGGGGTTAATGAGCGAGGGTTAATGAGCGAGGGTTAATGAGCGAGGGGTAAATGAGCGAGGGGTTAATGAGCGAGGGGTTAATGAGCGAGGGTTAATGAGCGAGGGTTAATGAGCGAGGGGTAAATGAGCGAGGGGTTAATGAGCGAGGGGTTAATGAGCGAGGGTTAATGAGCGAGGGTTAATGAGCGAGGGGTTAATGAGCGAGGGTTAATGAGCGAGGGGTTAATGAGCGAGGGTTAATGAGCGAGGGGTTAATGAGCGAGGGGTTAATGAGCGAGGGGTTAACGAGCGAGGGTTAATGAGCGAGGGGTTAATGAGCGAGGGGTTAATGAGCGAGGGGTTAATGAGCGAGGGGTTAATGAGCGAGGGGTTAATGAGCGAGGGGTTAATGAGTGAGGGGTTAATGAGCGAGGGGTTAATGAGCGAGGGTTAATGAGCGAGGGGTTAATGAGCGAGGGGTTAATGAGCCAGGGGTTAATGAGCGAGGGGTTAATGAGCGAGGGGTTAATGAGGCCAGGGGTTAATGAGGCCAGGGGTTAATGAGTGAGGGGTTAATGAGCGAGGGGTTAATGAGCGAGGGGTTAATGGGGCCAGGGGTTAATGAGCGAGGGGTTAATGAGTGAGGGTCAATGAGCGAGGGGTTAATGAGCGAGGGGTTAATGAGCGAGGGGTTAATGAGCGAGGGGTTAATGAGGCCAGGGGTTAATGAGCGAGGGGTTAATGAGTGAGGGTTAATGAGTGAGGGTTAATGAGTGAGGGGTTAATGAGTGAGGGGTTAATGAGTGAGGGGTTAATGGGCGAGGGGTTAATGAGGCCAGGGGTTAATGAGTGAGGGGTTAATGAGCGAGGGGTTAATGAGGCCAGGGGTCAATGAGCGAGGGGTTAATGAGTGAGGGGTTAATGAGGCCAGGGGTTAATGAGCCAGGGGTTAATGAGCGAGGGGTTAATGGGGCCAGGGGTTAATGGGGCCAGGGGTTAATGAGCGAGGGGTTAATGAGCGAGGGGTTAATGAGCGAGGGGTTAATGAGCGAGGGGTTAATGAGCGAGGGGTTAATGAGCGAGGGGTTAATGAGGCCAGGGGTTAATGGGGCCAGGGGTTAATGAGCGAGGGGTCAATGGGCGAGGGGTTAATGGGGCCAGGGGTTAATGAGCGAGGGGTTAATGAGTGAGGGTTAATGAGCCAGGGGTTAATGAGCCAGGGGTTAATGAGGCCAGGGGCTAATGAGCGAGGGGTTAATGAGCGAGGGGTTAATGAGCGAGGGGTTAATGAGCGAGGGGTTAATGAGCGAGGGGCCGGCACGCCGAGGGGGGGTTAAACGAGCGCCGTGCCCTCACTCCCCACCTGCTTGGGGATGGTGGGGTTGGGCCCCTCGGGGTTGATGATCTGACCCTGGTCGGCCATGAGGTAGGCCAGGTGCTTCCGCCGCTGAGGTTCCAGGATGGCGTCCGTCAGGCCTCCCGCCACCCTCATCGACTCCTACACAAGCGCACACACAAAGACAAAGATCGGCCGCAGAGCCTTAACAGACCGTTGGAAAATGCTGGGAACAGCGGACGAGGCCAGAATGACACACGAGAGGGTCGATGGCCAGCACCACGCCTTTGTCCCCCCCCCCCCCCCCGCCCAGTGCCGATGTTTTATACACCGTACACCAGGTACTCATTTGAGGCTGAGTCGACCTCGGGCAGGTGCATTACCTGGATGAGAAGATCTGGGTCGTTCATCTGAGTCGGGATGTCCGACAGAGTGTTGAAGATGGAGGCAGAGTTTTCGGACTGTACCAACTCATCCTCCTGTGTGGGGAGTTTGGGAAGGGACCGGTGGTGGCGGAGAGGCAACGTGACCGTCATCACTAAGATAATTATCGTCGGTGTGTGTGTACTCTGCATGTGTGTGTGTGTACCCTGCGTGTGTGTGTGTGTGTACCCTGCGTGTGTGTGTGTGTACCCTGCGTGTGTGTACCCTGCGTGTGTGTGTGTGTGTACCCTGCGTATGTGTGTGTGTGTACCCTGCGTATGTGTGTGTGTGTGTACCCTGCATGTGTGTATGTGTACCCTGCATGTGTGTGTGTGTACCCTGCGTGTGTGTGTGTGTACCCTGCATGTGTGTGTGTACCCTGCATGTGTGTGTGTGTACCCTGTGTGTGTGTACCCTGCGTGTGTGTGTGTGTGTACACTGCGTGTGTGTGTGTACCCTGCGTGTGTGTGTGTACACTGCGTGTGTGTGTGTGTACCCTACGTGTGTACCCTGTGTGTGTAGCCTCCGTGTGTGTGTACCCTGCGTGTGTATCCTGCGTGTGTGTGTGTGTGTACCCTGCGTGTGTGTGTGTGTGTACACTGCGTGTGTGTGTGTGTGTATCCTGCGTGTGTGTGTGTACCCTGCGTGTGTGTGTGTACCCTGTGTGTGTGTACCCTGCGTGTGTGTGTGTGTACCCTGCGTGTGAATACCCTGCGTGTGTCTGTGTACACTGCGTGTGTGTGTGTGTGCCCTGCGTGTGTACCCTGTGTGTGTAACCTGCGTGTGTGTGTATCCTGCGTGTGTACCCTGCATGTGTGTGTGTGTGTACACTGCGTGTGTGTGTGTATCCTGCGTGTGTGTGTACCCTGCGTGTGTGTGTGTACCCTGCATGTGTGTGTGTGTGTACCCTGCATGTGTGTGTGTGTGTACCCTGCGTGTGTGTGTGTGTACCCTGCGTGTGTGTGTGTACCCTGCGTGTGTGTGTGTGTGTACCCTGCGTGTGTGTATGTGTACCCTGCGTGTGTACCCTGCGTGTGTGTGTGTACCCTGCATGTGTGTGTGTGTACCCTGCGTGTGTACCCTGCGTGTGTGTGTGTACCCTGCGTGTGTGTGTGTACCCTGCGTGTGTGAGTGTGTACCCTGCGTGTGTACCCTGCGTGTGTGTGTGTGTACCCTGCGTGTGTGTGTGTGTACCCTGCGTGTGTGTGTACCCTGCGTGTGTACCCTGCGTGTGTGTGTGTGTACCCTGCGTGTGTGTGTGTGTACCCTGCGTGTGTGTGTGTGTACCCTGCGTGTGTGTGTACCCTGCGTGTGTGTACCCTGCGTGTGTGTGTGTACCCTGCGTGTGTGTACCCTGCGTGTGTGTGTGTAGCCTGCGTGTGTGTGTACCCTGCGTGTGTGTGTGTGTGTACCCTGTGTGTGTGTACCCTGCGTGTGTGTACCCTGCGTGTGTGTACCCTGCGTGTGTGTGTGTGTACATTGCGTGTGTGTGTACCCTGCGTGTGAGTACCCTGCGTGTGAGTACCCTGCGTGTGTGTGTGTGTGTACACTGCGTGTGTGTGTGTAACCTGCGTGTGTGTACCCTGCGTGTGTACCCTGCGTGTGTGTGTGTGTGTACCTTGCGTGTGTGTGTATCCTGCGTGTGTGTGTGTATACCCTGCGTGTGTGTGTGTACCCTGCATGTGTGTGTGTGTGTACCCTGCGTGTGTGTGTGTACCCTGCGTGTGTGTGTGTGTACCCTGCGTGTGTGTGTGTGTACCCTGCGTGTGTGTGTGTGTACCCTGCGTGTGTGTGTGTACCCTGCGTGTGTGTGTGTGTACCCTGCGTGTGTGTGTGTGTGTGTACCCTGCACGTGTGTGTGTGTGTACCCTGCGTGTGTACCCTGCGTGTGTGTGTGTACCCTGCATGTGTGTGTATGTACCCTGCGTGTGTGAGTGTGTACCCTGCGTGTGTACCCTGTGTGTGTACCCTGCATGTGTGTGTGTGTGTACCCTGCGTGTGTGTGTACCCTGCGTGTGTGTGTGTGTGTACCCTGCGTGTGTGTGTGTGTGTACCCTGCGTGTGTGTGTGTACCCTGCGTGTGTGTATCCTGCATGTGTATGTGTGTGTACCCTGCATGTGTGTGTGTACCCTGCGTGTGTGTGTGTGTGTGTACCCTGCGTGTGTGTGTGTGTACCCTGCGTGTGTGTGTGTGTACCCTGCGTGTGTGTGTGTACCCTGCGTGTGTGTGTGTGTACCCTGCGTGTGTGTGTGTGTGTGTACCCTGCACGTGTGTGTGTGTGTACCCTGCGTGTGTACCCTGCGTGTGTGTGTGTACCCTGCATGTGTGTGTATGTACCCTGCGTGTGTGAGTGTGTACCCTGCGTGTGTACCCTGTGTGTGTGAGTGTGTACCCTGCGTGTGTACCCTGTGTGTGTACCCTGCATGTGTGTGTGTGTGTACCCTGCGTGTGTGTGTACCCTGCGTGTGTGTGTGTGTGTACCCTGCGTGTGTGTGTGTGTGTACCCTGCGTGTGTGTGTGTACCCTGCGTGTGTGTGTGTGTATCCTGCATGTGTATGTGTGTGTACCCTGCATGTGTGTGTGTACCCTGCGTGTGTGTGTACCCTGCATGTGTATGTGTGTGTACCCTGTGTGTGTGTGTACCCTGCGTGTGTGTGTGTACCCTGCGTGTGTACCCTGCGTGTGTGTACCCTGCGTGTGTACCCTGCGTGTGTGTACCCTGCGTGTGTGTGTGTGTGTACCCTGCGTGTGTGTGTGTGTGTACCCTGCGTGTGTGTGTGTACCCTGTGTGTGTGTACCCTGCGTGTGTACCCTGCATGTGTGTGTGTACCCTGCATGTGTGTGTGTACCCTGCATGTGTGCGTGTGTACCCTGCGTGTGTACCCTGCGTGTGTACCCTGCATGTGTGCGTGTGTACCCTGCGTGTGTACCCTGCATGTGTGCGTGTGTACCCTGTGTGTGTACCCTGCGTGTGTACCCTGTGTGTGTGTGTACCCTGCATGTGTGTGTGTGTACCCTGCGTGTGTGTGTGCGTGTGTACCCTGCGTGTGTGTGTGTACCCTGCGTGTGCGTGTGTGTGTGTACCCTACGTGTGTACCCTGCGTGTGTGTGTGTACCCTGCGTGTGTGTGTACCCTGCGTGTGTATCCTGCGTGTGTGTGTGTACCCTGCGTGTGTACCCTGCGTGTGTGTGTGTACCCTACGTGTGTGTGTGTACCCTTCGTGTGTGTGTGTGTACCCTTCGTGTGTGTGTACCCTTCGTGTGTGTGTACCCTGCATGTGTGTGTGTGTACCCTGCGTGTGTACCCTGCATGTGTGTGTGTACCCTGCATGTGTGTGTGTGTACCCTGCGTGTGTGCGTGTGTACCCTGCATGTGTGTGTGTACCCTGCATGTGTGTGTGTGTACCCTGCGTGTGTGCGTGTGTACCCTGCGTGTGTACCCTGCATGTGTGCGTGCATACCCTGCGTGTGTGTGCGCGTAGTGGGGAGTGGCAGTGTAACGGTTTGCGCGTCGTCGCCACCGCCGCCGCACCTTCAGCTTGAGCATGCCAAGCGTGAGCTGGAAGAGCACGACGGAGCCCTCGCAGAAGAAGATGTCCCAGAGGCGCAGCAGCAGCCGCACGTGGACCACGCTCGCAAACACCGTCAGGAACCAGTGCAGCGTGATCAGGGACAGCTCTGGGGGGAGAAGGGGGGAACAAGCGAGCAAACGAGCGAGCAAGTGAACGAGCGAGCAAGTGAACGAGTGAGCAAGTGAACGAGCGAGCAAGTGAACGAGCGAGCAAGTGAACGAGCGAGCAAGTGAACGAGCAAGCAAGTTAACGAGCGAGCAAGTGGACGAGCAAGCAAGTGGACGAGCGAGCAAGTGGACGAGCGAGCAAGTGGACGAGCGAGCAAATGGACGAGCGAGCAAGGGAATGAGCGAGCAAGTGAACGAGAAAGTGAACGAACAAGTGAACGAGCCAGCAAGTGAACGAGCGAGCAAGTGAACGAGCCAGCAAGTAAACGAGCCAGCAATTGAATGAGCGAGCAAGTGAACGAGCGAGCGGACGGACAAGCAAACGAGCGAGCGAGCGAGCAGGCGGACACACCGATGTCGTGCTCGGTGAGCAGCGCGTGGAGGCGCGGGAGGTGCGAGGCGACGAGCTGGCGCAGCACGCGCTGGTCGGCCTGCACGCCCAGCAGCGTGGTGCTGAAGTACGCCGCCGGCAGCAGCTCCTCCACCAGCGCCGCCATCGACCAGAAGGCGTCCTCCTCCTCCAGCAGTAGCAGCAGGCACGCCGCGATCTGACGCGCGCGGGGAGGGGGCGGGGTGTAAGAGGAAGGGGGGAGGGGGGTAGCATGGAGGGGGTGGGGGGGTAGTGTAAGAGCGGTAAGGGCTAGGGAGAGAGGCGGCGGGGGGGGGTGGTTGTATGGCAGCAGCGATGGGCGGAAGAACTCGGCCCGCACGTGTGAGATGGGGGGGGGGGGCCGTCAGTTTGCGAGGCCCGTGGGAGGCGGAGAAGGCTCGCGGAGGTCGTCTTCACCCAGCAGCGGGTACATCATGGCCGACGATGTCTCACATCCGTTGTCCCCGTGTCACCTTCTCACCATGCCGGTGCCCTGGCAGTAGCCGATGTCGGGGTAGAGCCAGGCGAGGGCGCGCAACAGGCGGCGGAGGCGTGGCACGCCGGTGCTCGTCATCTCGGAGAAGCACGCGTTGGTCGGCATCGTGCGCAGCAGGTCCTTCTCGATCTACACGCAGACGCGCCGAGCGAGCGAGCGAGCGAGTCGTGCGAGCACGCGCGTTTGTACGTACGCGAGTGAAATAGATGCGTACGTGTGCGCGAGCGTGTACGTATTCGGGGGCCGGGGTGACGCGTGGGGAGGGCGGGGGGGGGGGCGGCACCTGCTTGGCCGTGAGGGAGGCGTCCTCGGAGCTGGCCTTCACCACGTCGCGGTACGACACATCGCTCGTCTTTTTCTTCAGCAGCGCTCCCGACAGGCGGATCCACAGCTGCGGGGGGGCGGCGAGGAGGGCGGGGGGGCAGTGAACAGAAGTGGGCGCGGCACAGGGAGAGAAAAGCCGCGTGCGTGTGTACGCATTGCGTGCATGTGTACGCATTGCGTGCGTGTGTACGCATTGCGTGCGTGTGCAGCCGTGGGGAGCGGTGGCGCAGTAGTTAGCGCGGCGCGCGCAAAGAATCCGGCCACCTGAGTACAATTGCCAGTGACGGCTTTTCGAACCGGTCCTTGGCCTCCCCTAGGTCGACTCGGCCTCAAAACGAGTTCCTGGTGCGGTGTGTAAACATCGTCACTGGGGGAGACAAAGGCGGCCGGGCGTGCTGCTGGCCAGACCCACCCCCTCGTGTGGGGGAGGGAATCTTTGTCTCCGTACACATCTGTACAGTATCGTGGCAGGGGTCAAAGCCAGGGGCACACGCGCGCCACGTGCGTGCGCGTGTGTGTGTGTGTGTGCGTGTGTGCGTGTGTGTGTGTGCGTGTCTCACGTGGGGACGCATGCTGTGCGGGATGCCCGCGAGCACGAGCGTGCGCAGCTTGTCCGAGCGCGGCACGGTGTCGGCGAGCTGCTCCCACGTGAGGTCGCCCACGCCGTGGTTCTGTGTGAACTCCAGGTACGCCTGCCAGCGCAGGCGCACCTGCGCGTCCTCGCCCGCGGGGGGCAGCGGCGGCGGCGGCGGCGGCGGCCGCGCATCCACCCCGTCTGGCGCCGGGGAGGAGGAGGAGGAGCAGGGACGGGAGACAGACACCTCGGCCGTGTGGATCCGCGCGTCCGGTCAAGGCTTTTCAGCGAGCGGTGTTATTCGGCACACCCACCGCCCCCCCCGCCCCCGCCCCCCATCGTGCGTAGCGCCGGCCTTAAATTCGGTGCTCGCGGACGGCACCCGAGCCCCCGACGGTCTGTCGGGACCACACGGCGGGATCTCTGCCCTTGCGTCGCCACTCACCTTCCTTTTCCAAGCGAAACCCGAACTCGTCGAAGAGCAGCTCTTCCCCATCTTGCGACTCCTCATCCTTCTGCACGGGAGAGCAGGGGAGGGGGAGCGGATTGGGGGGGGGGGGGGGGGGTCACGCGGGTCTCATTGTAATCATCGGCTGCCATGATCTCTCCACTGCTAGCTGCGCGAGGGCCTCCCCTCCACCCCAAGCAGTCGCCACCGCTCACGCTGGAGGGGGCGAACGTCGCCCCCTCCCCGCCTCTCGGTGCGCGCTCCGTCGAGAGGCCGCGGTGGCTCGGAGATGTTAACTACCTGATACCCAGGAGGTCGTGGGTTCGATCCCGACCCTGACGTTTGTTGTATATTTGGAGTTTGCGCAGCTATCTCTCCTGGTAGCGAGATGTTAACTACCTCGCCTGGTATGCAGGAGGTCGTGGATTCGATCCCGACCCTGATGCCTGCTGCTGCTGCTGTATATGTGGAGTTTGCGAATTTGCTCGCTCTCTCTCCGCGGTCGCGTGGATTTCTCTCCGGGCCTCCGGTTTTTTCCTCCACTATTTATAATCAATATCACGCATTTAGTATTTGGCTGCTATCAATTTCCACGTGTTGATAGGCCACTTCATCGAGCTATCATAGCGTGTGACCAGGCCGCTTCTGAAAAGAGCTATATTGCTCGGTGGGCCTCAATTAAAAATAGTTTAAGTTAATTGTTGATGTGGGCAGCGGTGGTGTAGGCGGTTAGCGCTGCGCTGCGCTACGAACCCGGCGACCCGAGTTCAATTCCCGCTCACGGCCAACACCGGTGACGATTGTCTGTACCGGTTCTGGGCCTCCCCTAGGTTGACTCAGCCTCAAATGAGTACCTGGTGCGGTGTGTAGTAAACATCGCCACTGGGGAGACAAAGGTGGCCGGGCGTGGTGTTGGCCACCCACCCCCTCGTGTGCCGTGTTGGCCTTTATAGGACAGCACTTGCCCCGACAGTATGCCAAGGCAACACGGGGGATCTTTGCCTTTGTGTGTGCGTGAGCGAGTGCGTACGTCACCTGTGCGAGTTTGGCCAAGATGTCTTGAGGCCACATGCTGGGCGTGAGCGCTGAAAACGGACCCATTGGGGTGGGGGTGAGTGTGCCTGAACACACACACACACACAAAGACAAAGACCCTCCGTGTAGCCTTAACAGATCGTTGCGGCAAGTGCACGGCACACAAGTGGGCGGGTGGTCAACAGGCATGGCTGGCCGCCAGCTCTCCCCCAGTGGCGATGTTTACACACCGCACCAGGCACTCGTTTAAGGCTGAGTCGACCTAGGGGAGGATCAGGACCAGTTCTGATAACCGTCGCCGGTGTTGGCCGTGCATGGGAATTGAACTCGGCTCGCCGGGTTCGTAGCGCAGACGAGCTAACTGCAACACCACAGCGTCAGACACGCACACACACACACACGTGCACACACAGAAACGCACACACACACACGCACTCACACGCATGCGCTGTGCCACGTGCTGGGCTGTTGTTGCCGTTTTAACCAAATTATCCGAATTATCGCTTTTTCATTATTTCGAACCCGGCTTGCGTAAACGACGAATCTCGAGCCTTGCAGGGACTCCTCGTTCAGCGAGATTGACGGAAGAGCGATCGAAGAGAGGGCCTCTGGACAAACCCACAATCAGATTATCTGCTTATTTTTTTGTGCGTGCGTGTTTAATTTGTAGTCCTCCCTCCCCAGACCTCCGTTTATCTCTATTGGCCTACGCACGGTGCGGAAGAAGTTCAACGTCCATACACGCAACACAAAATAACCATTCGCATCATTGCGGAGAAAATAAATAGCACGAGAAGTAGCAATCACGCCTCCGTGACGCATATGTCCTTGCCACATGAAATAAAAAAACAACGATTGTTTTACACAGCCCAGGTAGTTTTGGGGGGGGGGGGGGTGGGCTCACCTGTCGACATGGCGCGGGGTGAGGGGGACGTGGAGGGATGGGAGGTGGGAGGGGGGGACGGGGGGGGGCAGCGCTGGGCGCTCACCTGTCGCATTGGGGGTGGGTGGGAGGGGGGGGCGGTTGGAGAAAGTGGGAGGTGCTGGGTGGTGTGGGGGGGCTCACCTGTCGGCATGGTGCGGAGCGATGGGGGGGGGGGGGTCCCGCCGGGGGTCCCGACGGCGCCGCGGCTTCCTCCGCCTGCCGGGCGAGGGGGGGGGGGGGAATGGGAGGTTAGCCGAGTCGTAGCGATCGCCATCCGCCGCGTGACCCGCCGACCCCCGTCTGCCTCCACGTCGTAGCGCGGGCTGCAGGTGTGTGACGCTTGGCCGCACCTGGTCAGGCGACCGTTCAACCGCGTGGCGACGCACGTAGGGGAGGGGGTGGGGGAAAGTGTGGGGGGGGGTGGGGGTAGCGTCTGTCAATCGCGAAAGGTCACGTCGGTTAAGACGACGCCGCCGCCACCGCTCCCTCTCCTCCTCCTCCCCCCTCCACTGTGGCAGTGGCAGGTGCCACGCAGGCGGGATGTCGACAACCTCGCCCGGTACGCAGGAGGTCCTGGGTTCGATCCCGACCCTGACGCCTGCTGCTGTATATTTGGAGTTTGCGTGTCTCTGTCTCTCACTCCCCGTGGTGGTCGCGTGGATGTTTCTCAGCGTCCTCCGGTTTTTCCCTCCACATTTAGAATCAACATCGCGGCGTTGAGAGCACTTGGCTCCTGCTATGCATTTCCACACGATGATGATGATATCAGCCACTTCGTTGAGCTATCATTTGTGATGGCCAGGTCGCTCCAGACAAAGAGCTCTACAGCTGAGTGAGCCCTTACCTGGTAAAAATAAACTAAAAAAGTTAATTGTTTTAGTTTGAATTCCGGCGAGTTTTGGCCGTCAGCGATGCTGCCTATCAACCCTCGCCGGACCGGCGGAGTCGCTGACTCGGCACTCCCCCCCCCTCCCCCCACGCGTGCACAGCCCCCCCCCCACCTTTCCCCCCACCACCCCCCACCCACGCCGGCCTCCATGCCGCAGGGCCCGATGATCACTGCTGCTCTCTTCCACCCACCACCACCACCACCGCCGCCACCGCCGGAGCCCACGCAGCCTCACGCCGCCGCAAGGTGCTGTTAGCGACACCGATGACGACGGCTGCCATGGCGGCATGAGGAGGTGGGTGGCTCGGCCCCCCCCCCCGCCCCCCCCCCCCCCCCCCCCCCCGATGGCGATGCTCTCCGCGCCGCACGAACGCCAGGCGCTCGCTTTGAGGGCCGGGTCGACCCGGCTCAGATAAATCGCCAGCCCCGATGATGTTCGGCTGTGGCGGGCCGGGAGTCGAACTCAGGTTGGCGAGGTATTGTACGCGTCCTGGTCTCGTCGCATCTTTGGGAGATAATGCGATGGGCGGTGGGGGGGGGGGTGCCCTACGGGGCTTTGCTTCGCAGAACGTAAACTAAGGAAGGGCCTCATAATAATAATAGGGTTTTTCCCCTTTTTTCTGGTAGAAAAACTGAAACCTTTTTACAATGATTCATGTCTGCATTAACCACAATACCTGCAGTCAAAATGCTCGACCAGATGACGCCTTCTGGCGTCATCTGGTCGAGCACCAATTGGGTCGAGGCTCAAAAGAAAGCCGTCCCTTGGTGTGGACCAATCAGTTTCAAGGAAAATGCATATATTATCATAGTATGTTTTTTGTTTGCGTTTTGACTGCAGGTATTGCGGTTAATGCAGACGTGAATCCTCGTAAAAAGGTTTCAGTTTTGTTGCCAAAAAAAGGGGAAAACCCTATTATTACATTTTGGTACTGGCAAAGGAGGTCTAATGATAAAGAAGGGCCGTTGCCCAAAACGTCGTCGATTATATACGTTAATCTTTTAAGGCCATGCGTCAAGGTCTGTTGTGTTGTTGTTGTTAATTGCGCTTATGCACCACTGCCAGCAGCAGCAGCAGCATCACCGACTAATGTCTATTCATACTGCAGTAATGTACAGCCAGCGGATTCTTTAATCCATCTGTGCGGAGCAGTGCGTCTTGGCGAGACCCAGATACGCGCGAGACGCTGCTACGGCCGCCAGAGAGGTTACACCGGTCCGCGTGCGACCACGATAGCCCACGGATGTTGAGGTAGGGCCGCCGTTAGCCTCAATGTTCAAACCCGGTGGTGCTCAACCGGAGGGGTACGCGGACCCCCAGGGGTACGTGGCAGAGACCACAAGGGGGTGATTTATGAACGCGTGACATTGTACCATACGAGAGAGTCATCGGTGAACAGCCGCGCATGGATCTGCCAATGTAACATAACGACGAGAACATTTGAAATCCACGCGGTAGTCTAGAACGACATAAAAGACCTTTCGAAACTCGCGGGTCGTAGACACCGTGGCTTCCAAGAGTAGCCGGCGAGTGCGAACAAATGACGTCACGCATGGAGAGCATCCGTTGATTTTGCTGTTCTCCGCTTGCATGTTCTTTTGGTCTTTCGGCAAAGTCACGTAGATAGGTTCAAACTAAATAGCTAAAAAAAAAACCGATTAATTCCTGCAGTCACGAAAGCTTTAAGTCAACATTTATCCGCTTGCGGTTACTGGCCAAGTTAGGGATACCTCACAAAAATTGACCTTCGGTTGAAACATCGATGTTCATCATTCATACATTTACTTCTCCGAACCGTGTTGTGTCCAGGCAAGGGTGGGTTTACTCGGTTGCAACTAAATTCAACAAGGGATGAGAACCGCCGCAGTTGAAACCATCGCAGGTGTGTTCAGTAAAAATGGCTCTCCGTGTTGTCAAGCACAGCGGAGGGAGAGGGGGCAAAAACCGTGGCCAGGGAAGACTTGGGAACTTCGTGCGGTTGCGAAAGGTCCGGTTAGCTTTTTTTTACCCCGAGCGTTTACCCAGCCGATGAAACGGATAACCGTGCCCCCCCCCCCCCCCCCCGGAGACCTCCATACTCACTGTGCACTGCCCCAGAGTGTGGGAACTCCGCCACCCTCTTCACAAAAAAACCCACAATTAATGACGGGATGGCCGAGGGGAATGCGGAGTGTTTGACGACGCAAAGTGCGCAGGTAAGCGCTTTGTTTTCTTTTGGCGGGGGCCCCGACGGGCAAGGGCGCGCGCCACGCCTCTTAGCGGCCGAGTCTCGGAGTGAGCGGCGCGCGATTGCCACGCCACCAGCGTGCACAACGCGGTCGACGGGTAGCCACAGGGCTTCGTCCCAACGAGTTGTATTACCGGTAAGGAAATAAATACAAAAATATATACTTTACCACTTTGTTTAAACACAACACTGTGCTCAACCCACTGCAGAGCACGACGGAAAACACTCGCTCATCCACCCAGCCGCCCACACACTCACTCACTCATCCACACTCACAAAAACCCACACACTAACCCACTCACTCGCTCATTCACACACTAACCCACTCACTCGCTCACCCACTCATCCACACACACTACCACACTCACAAAAACCCACACACTAACCCACTCACTCATTCATCCACCCAGCCACCCACACACTCACTCACTCACTCATCCACACTCACAAAAACCCACACACTAACCCACTCACTCATTCATCCACCCAGCCACCCACACACACACTCATTCACTCACCCATCCGATCATTTGCCCACTCATGCACTCTCTCACTCACCAACCCACTAACTCATTCGCCCACCCACACTCACTACTCTGCCACGATGCCACGAACACACCCACACACTCACTCACCCAACTCATTCACTCACTCACTCACACAACCCACCTGCTCCCACTCATCCACCCACACACCTACCCACACCTACACACTAGCCCACTCACCCACACAACACACCCGCACAAGCACCCACTAATCCACAAAGATAAAGATCCCCCATATAGCCTTAACAGACTGTAGGGGCAAGTGCTGTTAGCAAGCACCTATGAAGCCCGGAACGGTACATGAGGGGGTGGGTGGCCAGCACCACGCCCAACCGCCTTTGTCTCCCAAGTGGCGATGTTTACTACACACCGCACCAGGTACTCATTTGAGGCTGAGTAGACCTAGGAGAGGCCCGGGACCGGTTCAGATAATCGTCACTGGTGTTGGCCGTGAGCGGGAATCGAACCCGGGTCGCCAGGTTCATAGCGCAGCGCGCTAACCGCTACACTACCGCTCCCCACACACCTACTCACTCACACACTAGCCCACTCACCACTCACTCACCCCACACTGCAGGCCACTACATTTCTCTTTCAGCTTCTTCCCTCCCACCGCTCCACTTTGAAATCACCGCCCCCCTTACCCCCCCCCCCCAAACCCATCCAACAACAATAACCTGACGACCAACAGTTCAAGAAGCCCATTACAACTCTTATCGATTGCAACGTTTAATCCCTGCCCATTGTCGCACCTCCGCGGTCCCGTGCTCAGAGCAGAGCGGCGATTTAAAACAAATTGACGCCGGCTCGCACCAAGACAAAGATCCCCCGTGTAGCCTCCAGCAGGCTGTTGGGGCAAGTGCCGTTAGCGAGCAGCACACCTGTGAAGGCCGCCGCTGTGGTACACGAGGGGGGTGGGTTTGGCCAGCACCGCGCCCGGCCGCCTTTGTCTTCCCCAGTGGCGATGTTTACTACACACCGCCACCAGGTACTCATTTGAGGCTGAGTCCACCTAGGGGAGGCCCAGGACCGGTTCAGATAACCGTCACCGGTGTTGTTGGCCGCGAGCAGGAATCGAACTCGGGTCGCCGGGTTCGTAGTGCAGCACGCTAACCGCTGCACCACCGCTCCCACCACCAACATACGCACACACACACTCATACGCACACACGCACAACAATGACAATTTTTTTCGTTTTCGATTAGCCAGAGTCTATGACACACAAACACCACGCCCTCCACACAGGTGAGCTAACGTCAGGCGTGTGTGTCTGACACGTGTGGGGAGCGGTGGTGTAGCGGTTAGCGCGCTGCACCAGGAAGCCAGCGACCCGAGTTCGAATCCCGCTCAGGGCCAACACCGGTGACGATTATCTGAACCGGTCCAGGCCCTCCCATAGGTCGATTCAGCCTCAAATGAGTACCTGGTGCGGTGTGTAAAACATCGCCACTGGGGAGACAAAGACGGCCGGGCGTGGTGCTGGCCACCCACCCCCTCGCGTGCCTTTCGGCCTTCATTGGTGCTCGCTAACAGCACTTGCCCCAAGG